GAATAGTCTGGCTTCACCCTCTCCAGGACAAATCTGTTCATTCTCTTAGCAGTCCATGGTGTATTCAATACTCTTTCCAACCCCATAGCTCAAAGGCATCAATTGTCCTATCATTTCAAGTCATTTTCCAGCTCTCTGATGCATAGCAAGAGACTGCAAAGACCATGGCCTATATTAGGAACACCTTAGTCTCCAGACTGACATCGTTGTTCTAGAACCGCAGATTTTCCATCACAATACGTCTTTTAATTTCTTGGCTTCTGGTGCTAAGAGTGTTAATTGTAAAGCCAAGCAAACTATAGCTGTGACCAATCTCAATCTCTTGACTATCCATCATGATGCTGCCAATTGGCACCTTAATGTTTTGATTTCTTCCTTCTGCTTTGGCTTCTTGGCACTCTAGTGTAATATTCAGTTTCTTCTGATACCCATTTTGGTCTTTCTTTTTCCTCTGTATTTGCAACGACCTTTTGCACTCTTCCTGGTTGATATTCTTGATATCTTCTCATAACTCATCTGGTCTTCACTCATTAGTGTTCAAGGCCTCAAACCTGTTCCTGAGATGGCTTTGAAATTCAGGTGGGATAGACTCAAGGTCATATTTTGGTTCTCGTGGATTTGATTTAATTTTCCTTAGCTTCAGCTTGAACTTGCATATGAGTAGTTAGTGGACTATTCCTCAGTCAGCGCCTGGCCTAGTTTTCACAGCTGATATTGAGCTTCTCCAGCTGTTCTTTTCACAGATGTAATCTATCTGATTGCTATGTACACCATCAGGTGAATTTCATCCCCTCCCACCTCCTCAAGTCCCTTGGTACAGATCAGAACCCAGGATAGAGGAACTCCAGTCTCCTACAGGAGGAAATGCAGTATCTTGGAGCACAGGGCCCTGCTTGTGGCCTCTGAGCATTCAGGCTCCCTGACTGTGTCTGTGAGCCCTGGCCATACACTGAGGGCATGAGTGGGGAGGAGGGTACATGCAGCCAGGTCCTGAGCCATGCCACAACTTTGCAATGTTTCTCAATCCTTCAGGTCAATAGGCCAGGTCTGACTCCCCAGGTGGCTGAGAGGTCTACCAGGTTCTTTCTCTTCTGTCCCTGATGCATCTGAAGACTTGAGTTCCACTTACGGGGTTACAAATTAAAGCAATAATGATATACCATTACATACCTATTGTTAAGCGGTCTTGAGTTGAGAATGACTCATCATGATCCTTAGAGTAAAAGATATGAACCTTGTTCTACAACTATAATCATTTCTCTAATGTTCATAAGTTTTCTAAAGGTCTGCCATTTAAGAAATGTATGGCCAATCCTGCTTCCAATTCTGTTTCAGTCTGGGAGCTCAACCAAACCCTGTCCACCATGAGTAACCATTCTGGCATCTGACACACCAGGGGCAGAGTGTTCAGTATCACAGTAACCCCAAGTTATCTCAGTACAGCAAACTGACAGAGAAATGCTCTACCACTAATAACAATGTTCTCCCCAAGCACAATTAATACCAGGCAATGGCCAAGGCTCCAGGGTCCAACCAACTTTTAAATACAAAGATCTGCCTACCAGGTCTTAATTGATTTAAAGAAGAGGCTTCTAGCCCACCCCTCATTTTTTAACTAAATCCAGGTGACCAATCAGCTTACACTTGATTGTCTATGAAATAAAAAATGACCAGTTTATACCCGACTTTCAAGACATACTTACTAGAATGACGTAAAACACAAAACATGGAAAGCATAAAATACTGGTGAGTATGTAGAACATTCGGAATGATCAGTGATTGCTGATAGGAATACAAAATGAGGTACTTTAGATGTATATAGGCTCACCATACAAACCACCTTGTGCTATTTGGTATTTACCCGAGGATTTGAAAACATTGTTGTTTGTTGTTATGTGCTGTCGAGTTGCTTATGACTCATAGTGACCCTAAGTTCAACAGTCCTAAACCCTGCTCTATCCTGTGCCAGTCACACTGCCTCTGACAAACCGATCCCGATTACCCCAGTCACTGAACCAATCCACCTCATAGAGGGTCTTCCCCTCTTGCACTGGCCCTCCACCCTACCAACCATGATGTCCCTCTCCAAGGACTGGTCTCTCCTTACAACATGTCCAATATTGTCAGACGAAGGTCCAGAATCCTTGCCTCCAAGGAGCCGCCTGGTTTGACCCTTCCAGGATGAATCTGTTTGTTTTCCTAGTAGTCCATGGTACCCTAAATACTCTTCTCCAGCACCACAGCTCAAAGGCATCAATTCTCCTTCTAACCTCCTTAGTCATTGTCCAACTCTCTGATGCATAACAAGTGATTGCAAAGACCAAGGCCTGTATCAGACACATCTTAGTCTCCAGAGACACACCATTACTTTTCAGTACTTTGGAGAGGTCCCTAACAGCAAACTTTCCCATCGCAATACGTATTTTAATTTCCTGGCTGCTGGTGCCAAGAATGTTGACTGTGGAGCCAATCTCAATCTCTTCACTATCCATCCTGATGCTGCCAATTGGTCCAGTGCTGAGAATCTTTGTCTTCTTGATATTGACCCTCAATCCATACTGAAGGCTGCAGTACTTGACCCTTTGCAGCAAGTTGCTTCAGGTCGTCCTCAGTTTCAGCAAGCAGGGTTGTGTCATCTGCATAACAGATTGTTGATAGATCTTTCTCCAATCCTGATGCCACATTTCTCCTCATAGAGCCCAGCCTCCCACATAATTTATTCTGCATATAGATAGAAAAGGTATGGAGACAGGACACATCCCTGGCATATGCCCTTCCCAGTTTTGAAACATGCAGTGTTTCCTTGCACTGTTCTCACAACTGCCTCTTGGTCCAAGTATAGGTTTCGCATTAGCATGATCAAGTGTCCTGGAATTCCCATTCTTCTCAGAGTCAGCCACAGTTTGTTATGATCCACAGCCAAACGTCTTTGCACAATCAATGAAACACAGACAGACATTCCTCTGGTAGTGCCTGCTTTCAGCTAAGATGCATTTAACATTAGCTATAATATTCCTAGTACCATGACCCCTTCTAAACTTAGCCTGGACTTCTGGCAATTCTGTTGATGTGCTGTTCCAGTTGTTTTTGGATAATCTTCACTAGAATCTTGCTTGCATGTGAAATCAATGATACTGTTCTATAGTTTCCACACTCTGTTGGATCACCCTTCTTTGGAATGGGAACAAATATAGATCTCTTCCAGTCAGTTGGCGAAGTTGAATCTGGTTGTTCTCCAGATTTCTTGGCACAACTTGGTGAGCACGTATGAAAACATACTCACACAAAAACCTGTAAATATTTTTATAATCTCTAGAACCAAGATGCCCTTGGACAAGTGAAAGAATAAACAGTATTATGTATACAAACTAAAACAGAACAAAAAGCTTGCTACATGAAGTCAATCCAACTCATAGGGGACTCCCTGTCTGGCTTCTGAGGCTGTTATTCTTAACAGGAGGAGATTGCTCATCTTTCTCCTGAGGAATCACTGGTGAATTTGAACCACTGGAGATGTAGAAAGAGCCTTTTGGTCAGTAGGGCATATGTCTTCCAAGATCCGTGGCCATACAATGGACTATTGTCCAGCATTAAAAAGAAATGAGCTATCAAACTATGAAAAGACATGCAGGAATCTCCTGTAAGTATTCCTAAATTAAAGAAAACAGTGAGAAAAGGCTATATTTTCATTTTTCAAACTACATGGGGCTATATATTCTGGAAAAGATAAAACTATCGATAGTAAAACAGTTGTTGGCAAGAGGGTGCAAGTGGAGTAGGTGAGGAATGACTAGCACAAGGAAGTTTTTAGGAGGTGATCCCATTCTATAGGATACAAATGGCAGGTGCCTGATAGACATTTGTCAAAATGCATAAAACTCTGGAACACAAAGAACAATCATATTGTGAGAGATTTTTAAATGTGTCAACATTGGTTCATCAATTGTAACAATGTAGCATATCAAAGTATGATATTAACTGGGAAACTATACTTGTGTTAGTAACAAGTTATGGAAACTCTTTTTACTTTCTGTTTATTTCTTCCTATAAGGCTAAAACTGCTTACAATAGGAAAAACGTCTATTAAGAATCATGTTTCAAAAAAGTATATTCTGAAGTCTTCCTCTCACTCCTATCCTCCTCCAGCCTGCCTCTAATAGTTAACTGTTTGCCCACCCATGGACATATATTATCATATTCCCCCTTATTAGAAACAAAAAAGTAGCCTGTAATAACACAGTTTTGCCTTTTTAAACTTAACAGTTATGTCTGGAAATCATTCCATTATCAATAAGAGCTTCACTCTACTGCAGATGCTGCACATTTTACAGTCGAAGCATAAACTGTATTTAAGAAGTCTGCAATAGGGGAGCTCTGGTGGCCTAGTGGCAAGGAGCTGCAACTACAATCCTAGAGGTGCACGGTTCGAATCCACCAGATGCTCTGCCGGGAAAGGAGGGACAATCTCCTCCTGTACCAGTCAGATCTGATTTGACGGTACACTCACACAAAAATAATAAAATTAAAAAA